ACGCTGGGCATCTTCGGGGCGGCCACTAACAAGGTCATTTGCTCCTCGCCCCTCTGCCCGGCCTACCGCAAGGAGGTGGTGGGCATGGTGGATGACCGGGTGTGCAAGAAGTGCCCCCCGCAGCGCCTCAGCCGCTTCCAGGAGGAGTGCCACAAGTATCGCACGCTGGTCATCAAGGGTGTCCGTGTTTTTGACCTGGCCGTCCTCGCCCCACTCATGCGGGACCCGACCCTAGACCTCAAAGTCATCCACCTGGTGCGGGACCCCCGGGCTGTCGCCAGCTCCCGCATCAAGTCCCGGCATGGTCTCATCCGGGAGAGCCTGCAGGTGGTGAGGAGCAGGGACCCCCGCATCCATCGCATGCCCTTCCTTGATGCCGGCCACAAGCTGGGTGGAAAGAAGGAGGGGGGGGGTGGCTCGGACTACCATGCCCTGGGTGCCATGGAGGTCATCTGCAGCAGCATGGCCAAGACCCTGCAGACTGCCCTGCATCCCCCTGACTGGCTGCAGGGCAACTACATGGCTGTGCGCTATGAGGACCTGGTGGTCGAGCCCATCAAGACCCTGCGGCAGGTATACGGCTTTGTCAACCTGGCAGTTAGCCCAGAGATGGAGAAGTTCGCCCTCAACATGACCAGCGGCCCCGGCTACTCCTCCAAGCCCTTCGTGGTGTCGGCCAGGAACGCCACCCAGGCGCTGAGCGCCTGGAGGACTGCGCTCAGCTACCAGCAGATCAAGCAGGTCGAGGAGTATTGCCATCAGCCCATGGCCCTGCTGGGCTATGAGAGGGTTGGCAGCCCCGAAGATGTGAAGGACCTCAGCAGAACGTTGCTCAGGAAGCCGCGGCTGTGATGGGGCAGCGGGCGCTCGCCGGCTGCCCTCAGCGGTGGCTGAGCCCCGCTGGGGAGAAGAGCCGCTCCAGTTGGCTTGAGTGAGGGAGGGAGCTGGGAAAAGCAACCTGGTTTCCGAGTTCCTCCAAAGACTGCTGAAGGGTAACATACAGTAATGTGATGATTTCTTTGTTTTTCTTATTTTCATTTTTCCCTCCTTGCATTGGGTTAGATGCGATTTAAAAAAAAAATAAAATGGAACTGAAAATATGTGTAAAGCTCCTTCCCCCTTCTCTAAAATGCCAGGCAGTGATTCTGTACCAAAATCTTGTTTATGGAGTTCTTGTGGGTTTGAAGATGGTAACAAAAACTCTTGCACAATTCCTAACACATCTTTATCTCCCTTGGTGCGGAGGGGATGCCCTTGGAAAGCATAATGCTGAAAATCAGACTTTTGTATGAAAGCAAATGTTCAGACATGACAGTAATAAAAAAAAAATAAATGATATTCATTTTTATAATTACCTCAGTTGTTTGGGAATTACAGTGTTGCTTATGTACAGCGGGAGGGGATGCTTGCTTAAAATAGTAATGTGGACTTTTTTTTAAGGGTATGGGTGGAGGGCTGGAGTGCAACATTTCACATGTTCAAAGATTAGGAGCTGCTCTTGCAGAAACAAGTACAGATCTCACAAATGTAGTGCAGGTTTTACAGCTTTGTCAAAGCAGGTTTCTATTTAACTATTGTCTTTTTTGTTGTATTTAAAAAGTCTTTCAAGTGCCGCTGTGTTAGTGTCCTAAGAGTTATAAAACGTTTGCCATCACAGCAGTATTTATTTTTGTCTTGACGTATATGTCCAGGACTCACTGTCAAATAGAAGTGGATCTACAGCGTGACAAGAAGTGCAGGATTTAAAAAGACATTTATCGTACTGGAAACATTAGCATGTGTGAAAACAAAAATAAAATTATATATATTCTATATATTCTATAGTGCTAACAATGCATTAGATATTTAAGATATTTCTTGACGTTAATTGGTAACAGGCGTAACAGGGAAGCATAGAAAAATGCCTAAAATAATTTATTTTTCCCCTTTGTCTAAGTGTCCGAGGGTATATTTATGTACAAGGAGGGAGGAAACATACAGCTGTGTGCTCATAGCTATAATGGAGCTTTTACGGAGTCAACTTGGCATTTGATTTTAGAGCGCTGGTTAGATACGCTTTTATTGCGAATTGTCATTGCTCTGTGATGGAGCCAGATGGTGGTCTGGCTCTTTCTGGGAGCTTTGCCTAGAGACTCTGTCCCATCATTAAAACTTGATTTAAAAAAAAATAAAAAATACTACTTCTGCTTTTATAATTTCCTGAAAAAGTCCTGGTTTGTTAAAGGTTAAGTGGTGTGTTGCATATGAGAAGTGCAGACACCTCAGTTTTTAATCTTGGCTGTGTTCTCTGATACACTTTGAAGGCTCAATTCTGGAACTTGAGTTTTTAAACAAAAGTGATTTTGCCAAACTCTTCTCTTGGGAGACTATAGACTTTTCTACAGGAAGTACATTTTACATTACCTATCTGGGTGTTGTGCCTTCAGCAAATGTGAAGAGTATGAGTAGTAAAAAGGAAATTGATTTGTGAAAATAAATTGATATAAACAGGATGCTGATATGTGTGTGTGCGTGTGTATGTGTGAAAATTTTAGTGATGTGTAATATGTCTATTTCTTGTATCAGTACTTTAAGTTAAACAGGTGATAACTGGCTACTAAACTTTGAGTCCTTGATGAAATTTTGGCATTAGATGTTGAACTTACTCTGAAAAGGAAACACATTTAATAAACTAGTTAAAAGATTATTGCATAAGTTTGCCTATACAGTTGCTGAATAACTGCGTTACACATGTCCATTCCCTCAGTTCATCTTCACCATCAGTACAAACAACATAAATATCTATTAATGGGAGATCTTACAATTGGCCTGTTAGGATGTATTCCCAAATTCCAGACAGCAGTGCTAAAAACGGGAGGGATTGTTAATCTGGTATTTAAAATACAGATTAAGGTATTTGTGGAGTCGTGGAATGAAGTATTTTGTGTTACTGTACATACTCTGATGTGGTGCTGAGTGGGTTTTGGAAGTCTGGGTTAGGGCTGTACCCTGTGGGGTTGGGTTTTTTTTTCAGTCAGTGTGTCCTGGGGCAGTGCTTGAATATCTGATCTGCTTGTAGAGCATGTTGCCTGCTTTTTATCCATGCACTGCTTTATGAAGCACCCCTGCTACCCACCGCACAGTCCTGTCTGCCTTGTAGCAGCCGTGCGTGGTTTTGCAGCGCTGCTATCGGCAGGGTGAGCGGTGCCTGGGGAGCTGCAGAGCCTGGCTGCAGAGCGGTGTGCTGCCCATGGGGAAGCAAGCGCAGCTTCCCCTCTAGGCTGGGACCCTGTGCCGCGATTTTGGCTCCTGCTGTCTTACGAAACTTTGCTGTGGTTTCTAAATGGGGCTTTCTCATGATGGTGTGTTGCAGCATAAGCTCTTTTGATTTGGGGGGCTGAAGCAAGGTCATTTATGTGCGGCGAATTTCTTGGTCTCTTCTGGGAAAGTTTTCTGGGCAAAGTGAACAGGAATTAATTGTCTCTGGGCACATGAAGATGAGCCCGATTGACTTGGTTTCCAGAAATCTCGTTTGTATTCTAATTACATCAAAAAGCTCATCCTGTCATTCTGAGAGAGCACTCGCTGCTCTTCTAATAATGGTGCATTGCAAGCATCTGCTTCACTTTGCTGATATGAACGGTGTGCCAGTAGAGTTACAGCATCTGAATCTGGTCCATAATTTGAGCTCCACCTACTACATTGCAGCAAGGAATTACCCAACATACTGTACAATTGTACCTGGGCATGTTTTGGTGAACAGAAGTAATGCAAAGCTCATTTTGTGAAAATAAAGGACTGCAATTTTGTTCAGATAAAGCTTCAGGAGAAGTGAATGGGACTCTGCTTGTGTAAAATGCTGGTGGGCTAAGCCCTATGTTTAATGCTGCTCCATTAAAAAAATAAGTATGTGAACAACTGGCAGTTAAGGGAGGTTATTTTTAGTCCTTTTTTATATTAAGAAAAGAGGATTAGAGGAATTTGAAAAAGCCAAACATAGTTGGAAAAAAAAAAAAAAAAGAAAAAGTTTAAATGTGGAAAATTAGAAAAAAAGGGTTTCAGATTATGAACATGGTTACAAAAGACTTCTGCCTGTTGTGAGGAGAGACATCTAGCTGAGGTTGGAATACTTAAATAATACTTGACTCTTATGCTTAAAAATAGTGCCTGGGTTTGCTTTCTGTCTGATTTAATAATTACAGTGTGCTTCTTCAACTGAAGCTAATGCTTGTTTTAGTGAAGAATCAATAGCATACACAAGGTACAGGGTGCACTAAGTTGCACTGAACTGGGAGGGGGACTTTTTTGAAGACTTGGCACGTCGTTTTGATGGAACAGAAAGGCCAACTATGCAACTACATGTTGTGTTCTGCTGTGAACGAACCCAGAAAATTCTACAAGTATTGTAAATGGTAACGATCACTCAATGCATGAAAACACAGGAAAACCCTGTGTCCTCCACTGAATCAACCTGAAACACAAGATGTCTAAAAGTGTGCAAGTTGCCGCAGCTGACCTAAATGCTGATAATGAAAAAATGATTAGATAAAGTCTCTTTCGGTCTTTCTAACAAAAGGAGGAAGTTCTTCATTTTTCCGATCACTTCATAAGTTGTCAGGTGTTAAGCTTCATGCCCTGACTGGGAAGAGGAACACAACTGACTTAATTTAAAACCACAAACCTTGTTTTTCAGTTACGATTTGAACTCAGGTCTCTAGAGATGAAATACTGGTGGTTATAATCAATTCTGAAACAAGTAGTTTTCATCCTGTAGGCCATGAGAAGAAGAGTGGGATTGTCCTTTCTTTCCCCCTTCATTTCTAATTGCTGTGGTGTTTGAAGTGTCCTTGGAAGTGAAGCGTGTTTAACGTGAGCTTTTGCACATCGCAAGGGGTGGTCTGTGTTTCAGTTTTGCTCCTGTGCATCCCTTTAGGTGCAGGCATGGATCTCTTTGGAACCGTGAATGCCAACTGTGTCACATTGCGTGGGGCTGCTTTATGTGAACAGACTGAACGTCGGGCCAATGCTGCCTGTGTTACTTAATCAAATGGATCAAAAATGTTCTTATTCTGGTGCCATTTCAATTAAGGGTGTTGTACCAGGATAAATATTACTCTGCTGGAATTATGCATATGAATAAGGCAAGCAGATTTAATTTGGAGGCTCTAAGTGAGCATGAGACTGCTTGCCATTGATGTATCCAACTTTGATGGTCGGTGCTTTCTGCTAGTTATCCTGTCAGTTGCTGGATGCGGTTTACGTTTTGTACCAGAGCACCTGAGCAAGATCTTATGAAAATGTGCGCATGTTCTAAAATAAAAAATACATGGAATAACATTTCAGCAATATTCATTATATTGCACACATTTAAAGTAAAAAAATGAGGTTTATCTGGTGTATTTGGATTCACTGGTATCAAATGAGTTATGTTAATGTGTTTAAATAAGAGCTCTTGGCTGTCATGACATCCATGATTCTTCATTCAATTCTGCAAAGAAAATGCAGAGATTCTGTACAAAACAGACTGATTTAATTTTGCAAGTTGGAAAATTTCCTTATATTTATTTTTCTTTGAGGCGTGGGGTTCCCTGCATCACGAGGTCATGAAAGGATCACAAGAATGGGCCTGCATTATTGAGTGTTTAGTGTTTGGGTCAATGCAAATCCAGTGAGCATCAGTGTGAAACATAAGATGCCTTGTCTTCCCTTGATGCATGAAGAGCCAAAGTTCCTCAGACACATCAATACCATGAAAGCTATGAAAAGAAATAATTCATAATATAAATGACATTTCAAATGGGAGAACTAGGATTAAAGAATCTGCTTCTGCAGCAAAACCCGAAGCTGTAAAATGCATGCAAAAATATGTGGCGTATTCCTTCACAGAAGATAATTCTGTATGTGAGGGACCCATCTACACCAACTGATGTGGGTGAGATCCCTGATTTCCACTTCAGTGTCTGATATAGGAATATACTTGTTATAAACAGAGTGGTAGTAAGGGAATTGAGGTCGAGCAGTAGGTTACCATCTCTTCGTTCCTGTCAGAGAAATTGGTGACTGACAGCCTGGAGGTCTTTTAGTATGAGGCACCACAAACTTGTGTCGAATACAATGGCATTATTCTGATAGGGCTTGAATGAACAAAGGAA